TTGCTGTTTTACGCCGAGTCGGCAGTACTTCAGCCACATTTCGGCGGTAAGAATTTACTGTATGAACGGTTTTGAAAGTTTTTGGGTTTCTCCGGCGGCCCCCAATGAGCCCACTCTTTTTCGAAAACCAGAGAAACAATCTTTAACGTGCTAAGGGGGTTGTAATCATTGACACGGGGCACCATTTTACGTCCCATCCGACGGACTTATTAATATTGTTGAAAGCGGTATAATAAACTAAAAATTTGTTGTTTCTTAGAAAGAATTATATGTGCATATCCTTATATATGAAGTCAGTAAATATGCTAGTGTTATAACATGTAATATATAAATATAATCGTGAAAGTGAGGGAATGGGCATTCTTTTTATATGCAATATTTTTAAATCAAAGTAATTGGATGTTTGCAATATATATTTTAAGCTCCCCGAGAATGGCCAAGCTTAAATCGGGGACGCTACAAAATTAAATATAAATAACTGATAGTACTCCTGCACTAAATCCTTGATCCTCTGGTAATAGGGAAAACATAAGATTTGTCTTGGTCTCAACAATATTTATTTATCATCATGCAGTTTTCATCTAAACATGTACAATTAAAATTATTGGTGGCGACTAACATACAGGCTACTGTTATAAAAAAAGGGGGTGTACAATGGCTATACAAGGATGACCCCCACAGTTAATTACAATTAAATAGATGGGCAGTGTATTGGGAGATAATTGTCGATCATTTTCTCACCTAAAATCACAATGGTAGGGCTATATAAAGCTATGGTGAAAATATGGGCGGATCTTGGATTTATCTCTCTTTGGAAATTGGCGCCTGACAACTCGGCAAAGAACTACAAACTCTTACTCTTGATTCCCGCCTATATTTTGCCCTCATTAAATTCAATATTAATGGCAATTTGGCCATTAAATCTTTTTTTAATACAAAGAACAGTTCTATGGTAATCGATTTATCATTTTAATTTCAGCGCTAGATATAGTATATTATCATTAATTCAAGCTCTTGAAAAAAGGGGGGTAGACGATATTTTCTTGTGAAATCGAACTTTCAAGAATCAACATATTTTGAAATAGTCTTAAATATGATAAAATGTATCTCATATTTTTTCTTATATTCTACGCAAATAAATAAAACATGTATAAATTAATAAAATACAATTATTTAGTTGTAAATAGCTTTAAAATTGGTGAAAAATCAGCATTTTTTTCGTTTTATGTCTATAAACATATGCCCCCCCCCCCCCCGTGAAACACAAAAAGCTTTGGCATAAATTTGTAAAATGACAGTCCATATTACCTGTAAAAAGGAATTTTTGTTTCACGGGGGGGGGGGGGGAGATGTTTTAAAAATATTTTCGTTTTCCATTGATTTCTATAGTGAAAAACACAAGTTTTACCAAAATTATAGAGTTATCTCTCTTTGGTATCCCAAATGAGTAACGTTTTATGAAAATTCATATAAATATCTATAAAAATTTTGAAAATCATTCGAATATGTTAACCTTTGAGAATTGACTTAGAGGTAGGCGGTAGAATAGTACTATCGTTCGTACTTCTTATCTAGTTACATTATGCGATCAGGCCCTATATACAACCTTCGGAAAAAAGGTCACATGACAAGATTCAACAATAGAAATGCAGTACGGTGACGTTCTACCAATCACGACAATGTACGTGTCGTACTGTCAAACAAAGTTGTCACACAATATGGATTATAAATAAACAAAGGAATTAACACGTGAAAAGACATAATAACCAATAAATTTGGATTACAAAAGATGTGTCTTTAATAAGTAAGTAAACAATTCATATCTGAAATTTGTAAATTTCACAGAAGTAAACTTGCTGAGTAAGCAGACTATATCGCGGATGGTAAAATATAGTACAAGTTAAAAACACGTGTAATCGGGAATAATTATTATCAAAATGAATACTATAAATCCCAAAAATAATCAATGTGATATAATAGGAATAACAAGTTAGGTAAAATACGAAAAAAATGCACATAGCATGCACAGATAAAGATGGCAGGCAGGATGTAAAAAAGTTACATGGCAGCAGATGATTCGAAGTATTACAGCTAATGTAAAGGTGTAAAACTGCTAAGATAATGACAGTTAACTCAAGAAACACATGCAGATATGAGATACATGTAGAGGGTAACTAATTCATGGTAGGTAAAAAATGCAAACAATAAGATCTCTGACCAGAATGGTCACAACGTTTTGACAAACATGAAATAATATTTCAAGTAAAGTCTGTTATAAATATTAAATACTTATATACATTACGGCGTCGAGTAGGTATACTATTTATTGAATAGAAGATATACAAATACAGTTAAGTTATTAAAGAACTTTAAATAACCTACAGACTATGCAATACTATTTTAAAATTGAACATTAGCATTATATATATCACTGCACGCCAAAGTCCCATTGTGCAAAGACACAATATAATTAAAGTTAATGACATCATAGTATTACTGCACCGAATTTTGATGCCGCGTCATGAAGAGGTCCGATGGTTTTAAAGGAGTAAAAGTAAATAATATTAGATGCAAGGACTAAGCCTAATGTCTCGGACCAGTGTGAGACTAACCTTAGTCGCTTGAATAATGTATAACAACAATAAACTTGATACCTTGCGTTGATGCGAGGCTTAGCCTAATCAGTCGAAAAGTGTGCGAGAACATGCTCTTAATCTCTAGATTTAGTGCACAGCTGCTATCCCATAATTAGTCCATTAGTGAGCAAGGACTAACCCTTATCAGCTGAGTGGTGTGCGAGGACTAATACTAATATCTCTGATAGGTGCAAGCAATAGCATAACAACGTGGTCAAGACTATCGCAGGAATATTTTTGAGTGATTGATAATGTTTAACACCAAGTAGGCAATATTTCAGCCATGTTTCGTTGATTGTTTTTCCGCACCATCGGACTTTGGCGTCAGACCATCGCACTTTAGCGCAGCATGGCATGGCATTTGCTCACACACAAACACACACACATGGAAACACATACATAAGTCTATCTCTTTGTCTATTCTATCCAGTTATTTGATTTTAAAACAAAATACGAAGGGAAATAATATCAGTGTGTACAATGTTTTCAGTAATTAATTTAGTATCATCCGGATGTGATGTTTTCTCCTGCCTGGTCTATGTCTTCTCTGGTATCCTCAATAGAACGGTTATCTGAGGTGGTCTCTAATTCTCTGACATTCATGTTTTCATTTTGTTCTCTCATTTCAAAGAAAAACATCGCTGCTTTGAATCGGTAAAATATAACAAAAGGAAAAAAAATTTTGCTGAAGATATTCCACCATATATCGGTAAAGAAATACTTTAAAGAGTAAGCATATGATGGGTATCGAGCCTGTGCGAGAGAGTCAACCATCCAAAACCCGAGGTTATGAATTGCAAGTAGGAAAAACATTATGCTTAGGTGCTGCTGATCAGTTTCCTTTTGCTTAATGAAATGTAAATCAATAAGAAACAAGGTTTGAATAATTGTATTTAGAATGACTAAAATACCATTTACTCCTGCAAAGGTCATTCCTAGATAAAACGCACCAAAACTGTCAAAAAAATTGTACACAGAGTGGACTAATGCACAAATTCCAAAAACGATTACGTCCATGTGAACAACGCGCTCAAAACGATTTAACAATGGATAGCATGCAGTAAGAACAATAAATAGAAAAACTGACTGCAGAACACCAAAGATAAGCTCAATCATGTTGTAATAGTGATAATACTCAGTCATAGCTTCCTCGTTGGGATTATCTCGAACAATGACCACAAAAATCGCAAATAATACAAACAAAGACACAAGGAACATATAACACCCTTTTAAGGTAAAATCGAGCTGCGTTTTGGCTTTGACTTTTGTAAGAAGATTTTTCATACTTATTGATAAACAGTTTGTTGACCTTTGACTTACTTGGGTAGTTAAGGAGGACCCATGATTTCTTTGTTGTTTAGTAGTTGAGCTCAATAGTTCTGTAGCCATGAGAAAATATTCTATTTTCAAGGGTGTTGTGTAAGGATAAAGTGAATCTGTGATATCATTTATAAGGTTGGGAAGATTTTCCTCTAAGTTCCAAACAAGGGAGTCATTAGAAGACGTATGGAAAATTCTGTAAATTTGTATAGTTTCTGTGTCGCACCAAACACATAAGTTTACTGAAATTAGTATAGTAAGTAGAATATTTTTAAGCCAGCCTGTAAGCAGAAAAATTGAGTCATTAGAACAATGGTAAAACGTTTGCATGGCTGAAAAAATGCAGCAAAGTATATTATATGGCAAAGGACAGGAGTTTTTACTATTCAGTGCATCGATTAGAAAGGAGCTTATGCTGAAAAAACCCAGAACAAAAAAGAATATCTTTTCTACACAAACTCTAACTTTACCCTCGCAACGATTGTTATAAAATGTGAGCAGTATCAAAATTAGCTGAGCGACGTTTCCCACTGCAATAACAATTATAAGAAACACACAAAGAGCGAAACCATATTCAGTATCCTCAGGTGTATCACTCTTGAGAGCAATGAAAAATCGTAGACCAAGAATAACACACATCATGAGAACGAATAAAAAGGACGCCAACATATATAAGCAGCATTTTCTTCTGTTGTGTTCGCCTGTAAAAAAAAATGCCGAAAAAATTGTTAAAAACAAATTAAAATGTTTTAAAAATGTTAGAAATCTTTGTAATTTATCATTTTATACAATTCCCCTTTTATAAAATGCTTCAAAATTATTGTTTGATTTTGTAAATTTTGGGAATCAGTTTAGGTGGTGAGAAGTACTACTCCAGAGAGAGAGAGAGAGAGAGAGAGAGAGAGAGAGAGAGAGAGAGAGAGAGAGAGAGAGAGAGAGAGAGAGAGAGAGAGAGAGAGAGAGAGAGAGAGAGAGAGATTCTATAATTATTTCATTATTGTCAAACCTCCTGCATTCGGCCCAGGTACTTCGCTTGCTGACAATGGGCTAACGGGTTGGTCAAGAAGACGACGTGTTTCATCAGTCTCTCTTTCGTCACGTAATCTGTTGCTGTTCCTGGTTCTCTGAGTCTGTTTAGTAAAATAGAGTAATTTATATTCCAAAAAAATGTCTCGGAGACTTATCTCTTTTTAACAATTACTGCAATATGATTTATTTATTTAGGTTTTGCCCTTAATTCTTAATTGACAATAATAAAGGGTGACTACACGAATTTTCATGTAAAATGGGACCTGACAGCAATTAAAACCTGAATTTATGACACAAAACCAAAAATTTCTATTAAACCGTAAGTTCAAAATAAAATTGAAATATATAAAAATTATTAAATGTGATGCAATTGAAATAAATTTTCGAAAAATATATTTTTTCTTTTGGTGCGGGGAAAACCTTGATCAAATATTTACAGTTTTATTCTCGTCAACACACTTATCGGCTTGAAAAATAAACAAGAATTTTTTTATATCCAACCTTTTAGAATCTTATAATATTAATTCATTGCTGTTTAAAATTTAAATTGTAGAACAACAAAATATTTCTTCGTTGATAAGGAAAGAAGTAAGCTTACTGTTGACGTACTCATGGCTTGCGTTCTACAAAAAAAAAATATACAGAAATTAAGTCTATTAGACAAAGAGACGCCAAAGAATACAAAGGATACATTTTACATGTATAGTATCAAAGTTGAAATAATAATTTTTAACGAGAAAAAAAATATATTTTTCATCGTTAAGCAAGAACACATACTATTACTTATCGAGACAATGATCCAAAAATTGTAACTCAATGGCAATAAAAAAGACATACCAATAGAAAGAAATATGAAATTGCAGATTCAGAAAATGAATTATCGAATGTAATTAATGAATTTTAATTCAAAAGTTCATCTCACCTTCCGATATCACTAGTCTGCTTATACAAATAAGAGGTGTACTACAAAATTCTCCGATCTGAAAAAAGGAAGGACAATTGATGTGATTTTGTATTTTTTTAGATTTAGTAACAATATAGCTTGAACATACCCTTTTTTTTATCAGTGATATATTTTTTGGATATAAAATGTGAAAAGATAATTGATGTTGACATTTATTTGAGTATTAAGTATCAACGTTAAATACATAACAAGAGGCCCATAGGTCACATCGCTCACCTACGCACTGTGGCTATGAAAACAAGAGGCCCATGGGCCACGGCGCTCATATGAGCACATCGGATAGGAAAAAGTACATATCAGGTCAGAACTGAAAGAATACTAGGGGGGGGGGGGGCTTGAATTTTTACCCCCAAGGGATCATGATTTGAACGAACTAGAATCTACACTACCTGAGGATGATTCCATATAAATATGACCAATCATGGCTTTCTTGTTCTTGAAAGAAGATTTTAAAAGATTTTTCCTATACATTCCTATGTATAACTTTGGTCGTTCATTGTGGCCCAACCCAATCTCCGGGGGTCATAATTTGAACAAACGTGAATTAATACTACCTGGAGATGCTTCCATATAAGTATGACTAAACATGTCTTTGTTGTTCTTGAGGAGAATATTTTCAAAGATTTTTTCCAATATATTCTTATGTTAAACTTTGGTCGTCATTGTGGCCCCTCCAACCCCCGGGGGCATGATTTGAAACAAGCTGCAGATCTGTAGCTCGCTGGTTTGAAAAAAAAGATGGACGACCAGAGAGCTACAGTGCCAAACAAAGCAAAAACTGTACATTTATTGCGCAAGAAAAGTTGCGTTAGGTTCTGGATTATTTTCTCCGAATTCTTACCTCAATTGCCAAAATTATAACTAAATTCCTTACTCCTCTATGAAGAACTATCGTAGTTGACATTTTCACGAAGCGCTTTGGACCGAATGATATTAAAACAAAAATGGCAGTAAATATGGGCGATATTTTTGATGGCGTCAATTTAGGGCCAGGAGGGCTATAAACAACAGGTATAAGGAAGTTTTGTTGTGGAAACAGTAAAAGAAATTTGTTAGGAACACACGGTTAGAAATATTTTGAGCCGAAAGTTTAAAAAACATGGAGAAATAAATCGACAAACAGCGGACTCCTTTGTGCGCAATAAATAAAACTTTTTTTCAATGGGTGGCAGTGTAGCTCTCCAGTCTGTCAATTTTTTTTGGAGAACTACAGTTCTGCAGCTAGATTTGAAAAAAATTGAATCTACACTACCTGATAATGCTTCTACATAAATATGAACAATCATGACCTTGTTGTTCTTGAGAAGATTTTTAAACATTTTTCCTATTCATTCCTATGTAAAACTCTTGTCGTCTATTGTGGCCCCACACAACCCCCAAGGGTCATGATTTGAACAAATTTGAAACTACACTAGCTGATGATGCTTCCGTATAAATATGATCAATCATGACTTCATTGTTTTGAAAAGATTTTTAAAGATTTTTCCTGTATATTCCTATGTAAACTTTTGGTCTTCCACTGCGGCCCAACCCAGTCCCTGGGGGTCATGATTTGAACAAACTTGAATTTACACTACCTGGGGATGCTTCTATATAAGTATAACAAATCATGCCTTTGATGTTCTTGAGAATAAGATTTTTCCTATATATTCCCATGTAAAATATTGGTCGTCCATCGGGCCCCATCTAACCCCCGGGGGTCATGATTTGAACAAACTTGAATCTACACTTGATGTTTCTATATTAATATGATCAATCATGGCTTTGGTGTTCTTGAGAAGATTTTTAAAGAATTTTTCTATATATTCCTATGTAAAAAAAATCACAGGATGAAAAGCCAGGTTTCCCAAATTTGGAAACCCGATGGAAACATATGGGAATCGTGACATCAGTAGTTTCCATATAGTTTCCATTTTATGGAAACCACATAGTGGTTTCCACATAGATTCCCAACATGGAAACAATCAACCTGTGGTTTCCCGTAAGTTTCCCAAGATAGGAAACCATGGAAACATGCCTCAGTGGTTTCCATGCAGATTCCCGACATGGAAACAATCAACCTGTGGTTTCCTGTAAGTTTCCCAAGATAGGAAACCATGGAAACATGCCTCAGTGGTTTCCATATAGTTTCCCGACATGGAAGCCATCAGTCTGTAGTTTCTCCCATGTTTCCCAGGTAGGGAAACTTTGAAATTATATCTCATACTAATTTCCAACTACATGTACTTTCTATTTTGCAAAAAGTTAAATATTTTCTGAAGATACCACATTTTTTCCCGATTATAGATTTTTTTCAAACGAGTACACATACTGTATCAAAAGAATTAAATCGGTCTCTTTAAACAGTTAAAATCATAACTTAAATTGTATTTCTATGTGATAAAATTTAATATTTCATGACCGTGAACGCAAATTAATTTTAAATTGGATTTATCACATTAGTCGTGGTGAACTCCTGTAGAATGCGTGAATTGAAATAAAGAAAAGTGCAGTTATATAGAAATCAATCCTAAAGAGAGAAATTGCGATTACTGATTAAAAATAGTTACATAGAAATAAATATAAACTGGTCAGAAAAAAATCATTCATCGAGTGAGGTGGGGGGACTGAGTATTATAATGCTAGTAATTTGCTATAGTAAATATTGTTTAAGATAATTTTTTGTTAGTTTTCTTATTTATTTATTTATTTATTTATTTTTTGTCATCCCCCCTCCCCCAAAAAGCATATTTGAAAACGTTGGTACGGCCTGTGTAACTACGGGCAACTGTCCTCACGTGCCACATCAGGTGGAGACACGTGCCGCGAAGACACCTGGGGACAGGAGACACCTGTCACTGTGTATTTTTTGTATATTCTATGTGATTTGAGAGGGTTTTCTACCTACAGGAAACAATGGGCTGGTGTCAATCATGTACACAACAGTCTCTGCAGACTTGTATAAAATTAAGATGATGATTTGTGTTTTTTATAATCATTAAAAATTATTGTATAGTAATCGTAAGTTATACAAGAGAACATAATTTAGTCATAAAATAACCTACATCTATTCTAAGAAGTTCAATGAAAGAACAAACTATTTAGAATTTCGATTTCAATGTTTATTACTGATTTGAAATAAAACTATAATCCTGTTGGAAAATTAAATAATTTTCTATAGGCATAGAATAAATATAAATCGTGTATAATTATATTAAATCATAATCACTTTATAGATCAATGACATTAATGTAATGATGTAATACGGTATTTAATAGTCTTGATGTTTTGTGTTAAATTTGTAATCCAACTACAAAGACATCTGTAAAATAATGTTTAAAATATTCATATAAAAAACGTTTTTTTTTTTTTTTTTTTTTTTCTTTTTTACTTCTTTTGAATTTAAATTTGTTCGCAGATCCCTGTGTGGTAAACGTCTGTACGTAACTACAAAGGTCCTAAATGCACATGTATATTTAACAAAACCATGCATCCCCCCCCCCCCCAAAGACCATTGCTCTACATGTAACTAAAGAAGAATCTATAAAATTATACATTATTTTGTTTTCCTCAAGAACAACGGCTTTTGATGTATAGTGCATGCTAAGGCAATCTATCAAAAGAATTAAGTGTGTAATTATATTACTGTGCATTTTTTGTTGATGACATTATATAAAGAAGTGAAGGTTTTCAATACAACTATAGATTTCTTTATGTACGTTGTCCCTTACTTTATTTCTATTCTACACATGCTGTAAATTACTCTTTTAAAGAAATAATTATTAATTCGTGTTCTTAAATTTGACGAAACTCAAAATACAGGCCTGTAGGAAAGTAATTTCCGTTTGCGTAATAAACTTACCGGGAATTTTTTTTTACAAGAATACCTTACCAAATTTCCTTATTACGAAAAAAAAGTATATAAGAGATACAGGGCGGGACCAGCTAAAGCTGTGTGCATAAACTCACAACCATAGTCCATTCACATTAACGAGTATCTATAGACAGTAGATGACATTTGACACAATCTTTCCAATGACATCACTTATACCCGTCACGACTAAAATACTGAATTAATTGCTATTAATAATTAAAAACGCTTTTAGTAGAAAGAATCAGCCTGAGTGAGGTATGGTAGAATAGGATACACTTGTGAAAATTAAGTTAGAATACCATCAGATCTGATTTTTTTTTGTTTTGATTAAAAAAACTCAATGAACTCCCTCCTTTTTTTGGTTTAGATTTTGAGCCTGCTATTGATATTATTACTGGTGGAGGTGATTACTGTACATTTTTCTATTTGCTATATCGTACTTGAAAAATATTGGCCTTTAAATAAATAAATTTCCCACATCATTTTAACATGTAATATTGTTTAATGTATTAGAATGTCAAAAAGCTTTTTTAAGGAGAGTTATCACAAGGTGGAACAAAACTAATATCTAATCAAAGGCAGGAAAAATTAACAGTATATTAATTTTTAAAACATGTTAAACACCGAATTTTTCAATCATCACTTTTAAAAATAGTAAAAAAAAAATACTTTTCTTCAATATTGTAGCTCCTTTTCATGCCTTTTAGGATTCAAGTGGAAAGTTCACAATTTCAAAAATGTACCTTTATTTAGGTTTAACATCGTTTTGATGTGACATTATACATTCATAATTACAACCGTTAAACATGTTAAAAGTGTGGGGGGGGGGGGGGCATATACTTTCAGCTAAGACGGCCACTACCATGCAATAACCAAGCCCCGAAACCCCCATCCTAAAAGCATATAATTTGAGGTGTTAAAAATCTTTTTTCTCTAAGTGGTACACGCATATTTTTTTTAAAAAACGCTTTCAAAATCTAAGTATACTAGGCCTACACATCGTATCGGCAAAAATATTTAGGAGCCGCCCTTTTATTCCATGAACAGGGAAAAACTTCATTAAATTTTAATATAAGATTTCATAATCATACTTAATCATAATGAACCATGTAAACGTACAAACAGTTTTTGTTTCCCATCCTGCATCGCTCTGCAGGCGCTTT